TCATCACATTGCGTTTCAGTTGTGTGTTGGGTGGAAGTGCATCAGTTCTGAGAGCTATAATTCTTAAGCGCTGCACTGAACAGGAGAACAGCTACTGAGAGGGCGATACATCATTTTAAAAAACTGCAATTGTTTTTGTTTTCTAGCCAGTCGGCAGCTGGACCTCAGAATACCATTATCTTGATTACAAATCTGGCCGTAACATAATTCAACCTCACCCGTAAATGTAAGCCTAAGCCTGCCTGTCTGTCAGGTGAACGAGAAAAATGGACAGTAAGTAGAAGGAGAAATGAGGGGACTCTGAAAAATAACAATGTTAATAGATGGCTAGCAACGGAGAGAGAGAGAGAGAGAGAGAGACAGAGAGAGAGTGAAAAGGAGTAGCAGGGCAGAATTGATGGAAAATGAGAAATGAGAGAGAACCGAGTTAATAGATCTTCAGCACAAACAATATTTGCCAGGAGAGACAGGCTGTCAGAAATACACTGCATATCATTAAATCCAGATATCATGCTGCTGCCCTGATTTTAAATTACAAAATTAATTGGCATTCAGCTGTGTGAGCTCTGCTCCCCTCTCAAACCACTGTACCCTCAACACATATGCTGCAGTGACTCATTTGCATAATCAATTGTTTTTAATTCAAGAGTTTGGTTTCTTGTTAACTTTCAGTAAACTTTTGCGGTTCCTAATAATATCCAGAGCTACAGCAATAGATCATGCTGACACTTGAGTAAACTCTTAGTAGTCTAAGGGTTATTTTGACCATTGGTTTGATCACGCCGCCGTGAGGAACTGGTCTAATAAACATGTTAAATCCCATGAGGTGGCGTACTGGAGCTCTTTACCCGATAAACATGCTGTACCTGGAAACGATCTGCATATGCTTGTCTGATGTCTGAAAGCTTTTCTCCTGTGTTACAAAGTCTTTGTTTGGAGTCAACCTTGCACTGTATTCTTGTCAAGCATTCAGCAGACACACAGCAGAGCAAGCTGGCTTTGATCTGAGGTTGAAAGTAAATTTAGTCCCAATTTTTCATCGTCTTCACTCTCCCTCTTTGTCCAAACATCGGTAGCGTCTCAATAGGTAAAAGGTTTATTTTTCCTTGTCTTGTACTTTTAGTTTCCCTGTGTACTTGTTAATGTTCCATTAGGGCAGTGTTGCTCACAAGAACAGAGATATTGATTTGGTGTTGAACTGGTCAAATGTAGCTTGAGTAAAAGGTGACTACAGCTGAGAAGACTAGTTGATTAATACATTAGTTAATCAACAGATTCTCCATTTACAGTTTTTCCAACGTGAGGATTTGCTGGTTTTCGGTTTTATATGATTGTAAATTCATTATCTTTAACTTTTGGGCTTTTGGTCAGACATAATGAACCATCTAAATCCGTCACCTTGGGTTCTGGAAAATAAAGGGCATTTTTCAAAAAATTTTCAGACATTTTATTGACAAAGCAATTAATTGATCCATCCATGATGTAAGTAATCTAGCTCTAAGGCTGACAACTACCAAACTATTGTAACAGAATTCAAATACATGTCTTGAACAAGCTTTTTTTAATTGAATTACTCACCTTGACTAACATTATGTGGTTTTGCCTTGACTTGAAGATGAAAGTGTGAATGTTAATGAGTTCAACGTCCTTATTAAATTATATATGACTCACTTGACAGCGAAGGTGGCCAACACCAGGCTCAGCTGGGGTGTATCAGTGACTGACTGAGTGAGAGTTCGCTGCTGCTTAGAGTTAAACATTGCATAAGTCGGAGTAACCTTCCCACTTAGATAAAGTATATACGTAATGTTACTACAGTATGTGACAACTGTATTAATACATACAAATATGACAATGCTTTGAGTGAATAGTTCAGTCCATGTGAACCCTGTACACCCAACAATGACCTCAGATGTATGTGAAAATAAACCAAACAATGCACTCCATATAGTCCATTTAAGACCTGTTCCTGGAACTTTTGATCACATCACGTGGTCTTCATCAGCAGATGGAGTTTTGGTATTGAAGATGTTAAAATTTCCATTTTTATGCACATCTCTCAGCCATGTTTGCTTAAAAGCTGAGGTTTGTTAATGAAGAGTCATCAGTCCATCAGTAGGTCTTTAGGTATCTTAGCTTAGCTTAGCATTTAGTAGCATGTACTCTTAATTGATAGATTTCCTATATTTACCTCCAGAAAATGATCTGTATTGAAGCTAGTTCTGTCTGATTGAGTGGTAAATGGTAAGTATTAGTATCTTAACTGTAAGTCCTTGTTAACATTACACATTTTCTGTATCTTGAAAAGCCACATTGCTATTAAAGAGTGACTTGTGTTACAATGATGTGAGCTAACTGTACCTCACTGGCACCTGCATGACCCACATGTATCTACAGACATGGCTGCTAGATGAGCAAACGTTTCCATGTCTCAATAACAGAGATGTGAGTTAATCTGGAGGACGGTCATGGCATGAAGAACCACTGTTGTCCTTGGATATAACTGTATATTCACCCACTCATTTAATTAAACGGCCAGAGCTAGCCGTCATCTAAGAGGGCTATTCATTAAACCAGTATCACAGACACACACAGAGAAAATGGATCCTGATCCTAATCAGGTCTGAAGGAAATGATTTCCAGGCAACAGCCTCTTCAAATTATTAGCACAGAAATGTTATGCTGCATATACTGTATTTGACTTGCTCTGTTTGATGGTGTGTAAACTCTACGTTTTGGATCTATTGTGAACCAGAAGCTGCAGCTCAGATAAGAAAAATCTCTTTCATTTATACGAACTGCTTCTTTTCAATTCTTTTGATTTGGTTAGGGCCACGGTTTCCCAGCAGCTATGACCTTGCACAAGTTTGCAGAATATGAAACCACTTTTGAAGTGTGTGTGTGTATCAGTATCCATGGATATGCGAACCCACCCCCCACCCCCTACCCCCCACCCCACCCTACCCCCCCACTCTCACATGACACTGTATATGAAATGGTTTGTTCATCTTGGTAATATGCTGTGTCTAATGATGCAGATGAAAAGCAATCAGTGAGGCAGCAGAGGATCCGCTTGAGGAGCAACGTTAATAACTTAGGGAAGCGGGAGATTGCATTGCCCCCACTAGCTCCAGACGCACAAGTACACATATTACACACAGGAAATTCACAATATGCTGCATTCAGTACCCTTTTTTGCTATACATTTCATTTTCCTGGGAACAGTAGGAGACAGATGTGACAGGAAAAAGTGAATGAATGAGAGGGAACAGCGGACTTTGACGGACTCAGTGCTGCAAGGATTGGTGTTTTTTTTTTGTTTTTTTTTTTTACGGATTTTGTTTTACTGCTGTTTTAAACATCCGACTCTTTCCTCATTTGTAATGTTAAACAACTGTTTCCAGCTGTGTTTCCTGTCTTTTTTTGACATCACTGCTAGTTGTACAGCAAAGGAGAGAGAAGATATGGGGCCATTAATTGCATGACTTGATGGTGTTGTTGAAGTGGGGAAACCTATACGCATGTTTGGGTTGGCTTGTTTTCTCTTTATAAAGGATATTTTTTGTGTTGCGCTCTGTTAGCCTATGATATACATGGCGTCTGCTGTGTGTGTCTGAAGGATCAGTGAGAGCACTGCAGGCCATAACCCTGGGTGTGTGTAGTGTATAGAGGAGCAAGCTTAAATAATTTACTCACCGCGCATTCGAGCTGAACTCACTTTCACACTTTCCCAGCAGCAACAGTTCGATCTCTGCGTCTCAGCCTTCATTCACCCCTAATGACAACTGATGGGCCATAATGTAAACATGGATAAATGTGTTACTTTAGCGTTCCTCCCCAGTGTGTGTTATTTAAAATTATAATTGGCACAAGTGTAATATGCACTGATGATGATAGGTTTATGATATAAATGCAAAACATTACATAATTTATTGTAGCCTCTGCCTGTGGTGCATTGCCCAGTCAGCACAAATCCTACAGAGGAAAAAAAAAACATGTAGCTGCATAATTTATGTGAACAGTTGAGATAGCAAAGCTACTTTACCGGTTGAAACACTGATTAACAGCCCACATTATCTCTCTCTTTTCTTTTTTTATCAGACCTCGAATAACAAAACCTAACTTAAAGTTAATGAGCAACATATGGGTGAATTCACATAAGATGATGCACAATCAGCTGTATGCAGCTGCTGGGATGCCAGTGTCCACTGTGGCTGTAGATTTTATTAGATTTTTAAAAACGCTTTGGTCAAGTATTTCAGTCTATAATCCTAATAGTTCATTAGTGTGAACAATTCTCCGAGGCGTGAAGATTAGTGCGACTGTACTGCTCTTTAGTCCTCCTTCACTTTTGCAGTTTTAAACTGTAATTTTTGGACTGGAGCCCAAACAGCTCTCCAATATGACTGTGGAGGCTTTTCATTAATGCTGTTTTCTCTCAAGCTAGTTAGTGTGTGTTGATAGTGAGGTCTTCAGCAAGCGACCTTCAACTTAGCGCTATTTATGCCAGTTCCTTGTCATTATTCTCATCCTCGTAACGCCCTAATCAACAAAGATACAACGCTTTTTCATTGAAGGATGTGGGAGACGTGCGCGCAGTCCTCTCCTCAGCTGTGTTTTGACTGATGTGGGCAAACAAGGCATGACAGGTCCTCCCAAATTGAAATGTCAGCCATCACGTTAATTCCACAGAATCAGTGTAAAAGAGGGGGGGGGGGGGGGGTTCTCACCAAACCCACGACCCCTCCTGCCCTCCCCCCTCTCTTGTTTTATTACCACCCCCCCACCCCCTACCCCTCCTTTTAATCTTTCATTTGCCACAGCTTCTTCAATTATTCCACATCACCGTCCTCTGCCGTTTTCACGTTTCTACCTCTCCACCGGGCGTTCACCACCCTCTCGCTCTCTCTCTCTCTCTCTCTCTCTCTCCCCCTCCCCCTCCTGTCCTCTCTCTCCCCCCACTCTCTCTCTCTCTCTCTCTCTCTCTCTCTCGGTTTCAGTGAGATGAAGCAGGAGCTGGCGGAGGAAGGCAGCAGATGCTCCATCCTCTCCAAGCAGCACCGCTTCAACGAACACTGCTGCATCCGCTGCTGCGCGCCCTTCACCTTCCTGCTCAACCCCAAGCGCCAGTGCCTGGACTGCCAGTACAACGTCTGCAAGACCTGCTGCACCTACAGCAAGAAGGACAAAGCCTGGCTCTGCTCGGCATGCCAGAAGGGCAGGTTAGTGTGTTCACACACACATTCACATGCACACTGGCGGCGGAGATGGGAGAGATAAGAGTAATAGCAAAAGGAATGAATGGGGATGAGAGATACGGGAGAAGCTGCGAATTGGTTGATTGGAGGACACTGAAGTGAGGGGAAAAGTGGGGTGGAGAAATATAAATAGGGCATTTATGGGGGGAATAGAAGAGACTGAGCAGAGCAGCTTAGGGGAATATGGGAACAGTAGGAGACAGATGTGAGGGGAAAAAGTGAATGAATGAGAGGGACTTTGACGTACTCAGTGCTGCAAGGATGGGTGTTTTTTTTCCGGATTTTGTTTTACTACTGTTTTAAACATCCAACTCTTTCCTCGTTTGTAATGGAAAGCAACTGTTTCCAGCTGTGTTTCCTGTCTTTTTTTTTGACATCACTGCTGGTTGTACAGCAAAGGAGGGAGAAAGATATGGGGCCATTAAGGGAGAGTGTAATAAAAAAAATGGGGGCAGAAGAGGAGAAGAAATGGAGGGAAATGTGTGAAAAGGGAATATATATACGGCTATAAAGAGACAGACAAAAAGATGTAGACACAGCAGGGCATGGAAGATGAATGATTAGGCAGCTCCTATTTCTTGTGGGAAATATTTGCTTTCTTGATCTTTTTTTTATTTCATTCAGCTTGTTTTGAGTCCCCTGGTCACATGCCTGCTTACAAAAGTAAATATTGCAGTTTTAGAGAAAAGAAGAAGAGAACTAACATTTATGATTTATAGAACAAGAGGAAACAATCTGAGGAGCGTTAGAGGCAAGGGAATGCGCTACAGCTTGTTGTGTTTGCAAATGAGCTCCGTGTGTGCATGTGCATGTGTCTGTTAAGGTTGTTTATGCATGCATGTCTCTCCAAAGCCTTGGGAGTTGTTCTAGTGCCCCGACTCACCATTGGATGAATATTAAGCTCTGTCTGTCTGGGAAGCAAGGGTGGGGTGTTGGAAATACTATTACACTGGAGTGTGTGAGTCAATCTGTCTTGGACTTGGATTCATTGCAAAATCTATTGAGAGATTGGAATATTATATATATGTGAATATGTGTGATGTGTATATGCATAACTTAAATGATTTGTTGAGGCGTAGCCATTGCTTATAGTCAATTTGTCATGTTTTTTTTTCACACCAGATCTTCTGCTTTCAAAGGCTAATGCCTTCCTAAAAATATTACATGATACTCCACAGGTCCACAAGTGTGATTTTGTACCTTTGCTGTGATATTTAGAGTGCGCTACTACAAGAAATACAGCGGAAATATAGAAATGGTATGATGGTGGTGGATATTGGAGTTTCTGCCTGTTTGAGTGCCTTAAGATGGAGGTGGACAGGATTGCAGAGCATGAAAAAGCTGTCCAAAAATGTGTTGCCCCTCCACTTGGCCTTATTTCATCCCCTCAGTCCCCCTCGCTCCGTCTCTTTCTGTCTTCCATTGATTTTCGCTGCATGTTGTATTGAGTTAGACCTGCTGCCCTGAGTCCTGGTGTATGAGACAAGAGGGAGGAGGAGGGAGGAGTGGGAGCAGGAGAGGAGGAGGGAAAGGGATGATGGCAGTCAAAAGAGGTGGCAAGGATTGCATCGATCATCTCTCCTCTCACATTCCCCTCCACTCTTTTCTGTGTGTGTGTGTGTGTGTGTGTGTGTGCCTGGGGCTCACTAATGTTCTCATTAGGGGTTTAGACTGAGTCACAGATGGGCCTGATGTCACAACATTGCTGACTACCAGCTACATATAAATACCGCACTTTTCATTAGCGCATTAAACAGGCTTAAATCTGGTTTTAGCATGAATTACTCTCTCTGCGGGTGGAGTCATGTCATTTGGAACGGTGATTTGCACAAGAGAAGCCTCAAAACATTATTTTGGAAATGGCTATTAGTCTCCTGTTGGAGTGCATGATTGCAAAGAAAAGGAATTGATTTGATGCTAAATAGCCGGGAGATTGGGTGTTGGGAAATAACTACAGCAAAGAGGAAAGCTCTCTTGTTAAAGAGGAGTCATTGTGCAGTAAATACAAGACTAATTAATTTGTCGGGTTTTTTTTTCTTATTTATGCTCTGTTTAGCAGAGAATACATGAAATGAAATACAGCATCGGTCTACATTAATTTAAAGAATCACAAGTTGAGGAAAATGTATGTGCATTCATTCATAACAAATCAGCTTCTCAGTATTTTCTCCTCTTGTATGTCAGTTTTTCTTAACAATTTTTTGAAGGAATTCTGCTGAATATTAATGCTAAATCAATCCATGCGGGAACAGACTGCCAAATGGTCTCACTCATATGCACCGGCTGTCCATCAACATTCACAGTGGCACGGCCACGCTGCTCGCCAGCGTGATGCGTCGAGGGAAAGCAGATTTGTAATCATCACACACATGGACACACTCAGAGACTAAAGTCACCCACTCCCAGATGGATGGATGCACATAAGAACGTATGTGTGCGTACATCCAGGCGAACACATGCTTACACACAAACAGGCATGTGAGCACATGCATCGATTATATGTTGGGTAATTACATTTCTACTTGAGACGGACGTTGCTATTGAGTGGTTGAATGTTTTGTTAATGAAGACACCCGCTGGTATGAGATGTGGTGATAACAGATGGTATATGAAGAAGAAAAAGACGAAAAAGAAGAGACGTGATTCAGCAGCTTTGTCATAATACATTTTCGAGTCCTGTAAAATACACACACACACACACACACGTCCGTACACACACACACACACACCAAACACAGCTTTCGAGCAAGTGGGACAAGCATGACTATTTGCAGTCTGGTGGGATTAATAACATCCTCAGCCCATGGTCCATAAGCCGTACACAAACACTCTGCACCTAAGCACATACTTTGTGACACACACACACACACACACATACACAGCACACCGATGGTTTGATCAGAGAGGTCTAAACATTTTTGCTGGAAACTGAAAAGTAATTTTTTTTCTTGTTTTGGCTTCACACCCAACACAGTGGAGAGAATGTTAAAGGGGAAGAGCAGGAGACGAAGAAAGATGAAGGTCAAGAGAGAAAGGAGGGAGGGAGGGGGAGGGCAGGAGGAGGAAAAAGACATTAAGAGAGGGAATGACGGAGGAGGAAAGTACCTGTCCCAATTATCTGTGAATGGAAATGCCATTCAATTCTCCTTTTGTTTTGACTCTCAAATTGCATTGTTCCTCTTGCCTGCTCCTCCCCTTCTTTTTCTTTGTCTTTTTCTTTTTCTTTGTCCTGTCCTCTTTCATGTTCTAACTCTCCCTCTCTCTGTCACGCCCCCCCCCTCTCTACCTAATGAAATCTCCATTTTCCACATTTACATTTGAGCTACTGCACCTCTCTGTGCTTAATCTGCAGAAATGGACTACTGGGTGCCTCCCTACACCGTCCTCAGGCCATAGAATGATGTACTTGTATATACAGTGTGTGTGTATGTGTGTGTGTGAGTGTGTGTGCACAGAAATAGCAATACACCAAAGTGACAGACTGTTCTTAACCACTTTATGGCTTTCATAATCTCATCCTAAAGCATGGCTGCAAGGAGATTATGGCATCTGCTGTAGACCTATACTGTTCTGTACATATAAACAAACAAACAGTCTTACACATAAACACATGCACATTGTGACCTAAGTGCACACATGAGCACACACTCACACAGGGAATTTTAATTCAATTTAATTAAATTTTTTGCCATTAAATACATTTTGAGATATTTTAATCAGTGCAACCTAATTCTCCATGCATGGAAGCACATGAGCCTGCAAATACACATGCAAACACAAACACAGAGCAACGCACAGCCCTTTATCCTCATAAATGCAGACACTGCTGCAGTTACAGGGCGACATCAACCGTCTGTCGTATTTTAAATGTGAGCCTAAGCGATCTCTGGTGCTGACATGGTGGTGTAACCACTGTATCTGACAAACGGCTGCACAGAAACAGCCCGCATTTAATCACTTGGTTCTTTGCGATGACGCTGGCTTCCTCTAAAGGCCAAGCAGGAGGTGATTTGCTCAGGGGCATCAGGACAGGAGCTAACAAGCATGTAAAAGCACTCTGAAATCTCGCTAGCAGTAATAGTGGTTTTAAGTAGTGGTTTGTTTAAATGCAACCACACAAGAACACACACATTCATGGATGTCAGATCCATTTATTGTTACAAGCAGCAGCAGCAGCTCCTGTCACTTTCTCAGGAGCTGCTACCAGAAGTATGCTGTTTGATTTTTATATGTAAGCAGAGGTGAATGGGGGTTTTTCACCACATGAAGGTGATTCAGATACTAGCGGACAGGTTGTCAGTCACAAAGCAGAATGTTCAGTGAGGGATAATCCAGGTGATGATCAACATCATTTACAGCCGCAGAGATGTACCACTTCTGATCTGATCATATAAATCCTCCCTATTTATTGTATGAAAATTCATCTTTTTAATTTCACAAAGTGTGCATCAGCAGCTATGGAATGTTTTTTTATGGTATTTTATATATATATATATATATATAGACGGTATATATGCAATTTTGTAGTTTCCCATTAGTTTAATAATTGACATTTGACATCTTGAGGCTGTTGCTTCCCATTCCCATTTTTACAAGAGGTTATGCTTTTACCCGTGTCTGTTTGTTGGTTTGTTCGTCCGCAGGATTACGCAAAAATGTACTGAACCGATTTGCACTGAACTTGGTAAAGGGATGGGGCATGTGCCAGGGAAGAACCCCAGCTGATATGGATCATTCACTATGAATTTGAATTAATTTTTTTCTCTGAAGTCTGGTGTATGTTGTTTGGCATTGGCCTTGGCGGAGGTCTGTGCTCTCTTAGTGCCCTTCTAGTTTTACTCTATTATTGATTTCACTGATAAATATTGCAGATGTTTTATCAGTTGAATGAAGCTCCTTGTGGTTACATGTTGTGGTCATGTTGTAATATTGTTAATATTGTAATAGAGTTTAATAAAAATAGA